CACTTGTAAGCTTCCTTTTTGTTCTTTAGCTCACTGAAGAATCCCTGCTAATCCAAGCTGGTCTTCTGCCATACTTTCTAGTCTTTCTGTGCATTGGGATGGTTTGTTCCTGTGACCTCAGGAACGCTTCTTTAAAGCCAGCTCTCCTGGAGTCCTTTCCCCTTCAGCTTGGCCTCCTAGGGGGTCCTGCCCATTGGTTCCCTGAGTGAGTCAAAGTTTGCTTTTCTGAAGTCCAGGGTCCATACTCTGCTGCTCTCCTTTCCTTTCCTTAGGCTCCTGAACTCAACCATCTCATAGTTGCTGCTGCCCAAGTTTCTATCCACTAATACATTCCCTACCAATTCTTCCCTATTTGTGAGCAGCAGGCAAGAAGACTATGGCCCCTAGTTGGCCTCTCCAACACTTACACCAGGAAGTTGTCCCCAGCACAGTGGCATGCTTGCTGAAAGATTGCTGAAGCTGATGAAATTCACAAACCAGCTTTTTCATTAAGACATGATTTTATTGAGTATTTTGAGCTTGAATGTCTGTTTCCAAAGAGGCCCTTTCTCCCTGTTTTTCTTAAGCCATGCATCTTGAAGCTTTGCAAGGAAATCAAGGCCCACTTATATCAACGCAGTACAGCTGTTTGGACTTTCAGGTCCTAAAATATAAACCAGCTGTTTTTAGGTTTCCCAGTATGGCTTGGTTTAATTTATGTTGTCATTTATGTTCTTCTGATTGGAAAAGAGAGGGATTTCAGTACAGTTCTTGTAAACAGTCATATTTTTAGTAAAATAAAAGCTGTTCTATTGTGAAGCAGACTGGCCAAGTTTGCTGATGACACCAAACTTTGGGGAAAAGCATCCGCACCAGAAGACAGGCGGGTGATCCAGGCTGACCTGAACAGGCTTAACAAATGGGTGGATGAGAACCTGATGGTGTTTAACACCGAAAAATGCAAGGTTCTCCACCTTGGGAAGAAAAACCTGCAGCATCCTTATAGGCTCAGCAGTGCTACGCTGGCTAGCACTATGAAAGAAAGAGACTTGGGGGTCATCATTAACCACAAGATGAACATGAGCCTTCAATGCGATTCTGCGGCTAGTAAAGCAACCAAAACACTGGCTTGCATCCATAGATGCTTCTCAAGCAAATCCCGGGATATCATTCTCCCCTTGTACTCGGCCTTGGTGAGGCCACAGCTAGAGTACTGTGTCCAGTTTTGGGCTCCACAATTCAAAAAGGATGTGGAGAAGCTTGCGAGAGTCCAGAGAAGAGCCACGCATATGATCAGAGGTCAGGAAAACAGACCTTACGGCGACAGGCTGAGAGCTATGGGGCTTTTTAGCCTGGAAAAGCGCAGGCTCAGGTGTGATCTGATGGCCACCTACAAGTTTATCTGGGGTGACCACCAGTATCTGGGGGAACGTTTGTTCACCAGAGCACCCCAAGGGATGACGAGGTCAAATGGTCATAAACTGCTGTGAGACCGTTTCAGGCTGGACATAAGGAAGAATTTCTTTACTGTCCAAGCCCCCAAGGTCTGGACCAGCCTGCCATCGGAGGTGGTTCAAGCACCTATATTGAACACCTTCAAGAGTAAATTGGATGCTTATCTTGCTGGGATCCTATGACCCCAGCTGACTTCCTGCCCTTCAGGCAGGGGGCTGGACTCGATGATCTTCGGAGGTGCCTTCCAGCCCTAATGTCTGAAATCTATGATTTATTTAATTTCACTGAGAGGCAATATGTTATTCATAGCAGTAAAATTTCAGCAACTGAGGTGTATAATACACCACAGAGATATTATAAATGAAGAGGGCCAAATTCACCATTCTTGTAGCATCAGAGAAGTTACAGACAAACTGAATGATGCAATCAAAAATTGGTTTAAATCTGTAACAGAACAGAAGTTCAGTGCACATAAACTGCTTTCAAAATGGCCAAAACCAGTTTAAGATGGTTGGAGGTACTATCAGATTTAAGTGATTTAAGGTCAAACCAGCTTATAGAACTTCTGTCACAGATCCCCTCCTGATTCAAGTTAACTCAGTCCCCCAGCATCCCAGGATCCTTTGCAGAACTAGGCTCTGCTGTGCTGTCTGCTCCAGCACTGCAGTGTCAGCCATGCCTCTCAGCTCCCTAGCTAGAGCAGTATCACTGCCTCTGTTGGCAGAGATGGGATGGGAGAGAGAACCCTAGCATGGACCTGAGCCAGATTCTTCCTGATTGGGAGGGAGGAGAGGAGGGAAGCCCTTGGAGGCTTTCCCCCTTACCCAGCTTGAGTGGGGAGGGGAGGCATGGCCAGGCCCCACCCCTGCCCAGCTGACTGGGTATGATGAAGGGGTGGTTTAAACCCCCCACCCTGGCCTGCACTGACCTCAGCTGGGGTCTGCCTGAGGTTGAAGGGAATCTGTCAGTGGCCAGGCACTGGCCTGGCTGGCTGAGTATGGTGGCAGAGGTGGAGGACTTTAAACCCCCACCCTGGCCCGCACTGACCGCAGTCGGGGGCTGGCTGGCTGGGGTGCAGGGTGTGGAGGGGAGGCATCGTGGCCAGGCATCGGCCCAGCTGTCTGAGTATGATGGCAGGGTTGGGCGGGTTAAACCCCTACCGTGGCCTGTACCAACCCCAGTCAGGGGCTGCCTGGCCAGGGTGGAAGTAGAGGGAAAGCCCTCAAATGCTTTTCCACTCCTCCCCACTCAAGTGGAGCAGGGGGAAGCCCACACTAGGGTCAGTGTGGGCCAGGGTCAGGATTTAAACCTCCCCACCCCCACCATCATACTCAGCCAGTCAGATAGGGTGCGGGCCTGGACACACACCCCCATCTCCGTTTGAATGGGGAAGGGTGGGGGGAATAGCCTCTAAGGGCTTCCACCCACCCTTATGCGCCAGCCAGGCAGCCAACTGACTCAACTTACTGAGTTCTGACAAGCCATTGAGGGCCACATGCGTAGCCCCGCCCCTTGAGAGGTGCCCCACCCCCTGGTCACCATCTTGAGACTGGAAGTCCCACCCCCTAACCGTTAACCTTTGCCACCAGAAGTCCTTCCCCTTGTCCCCCTGGAATTACTCCTTTCAGCAAAGGGTTTTGCCATCTCTGAACCAGAAAAATACCAAATTACATTCTAAATATCAAACATGTACTACAACATTTATTAATTTCATTTAAAAAAATACTTTGGCCTGATTTACATGCGTTTATGTAGTGTACATAGAGGTGATAGTATAATAGGTTAAAATGAATTCTTACTCTTGTAGATTGTAGGAGGGTGAGTGTGGGTATTGGTGTGTGGGGGTGTGATTTGTGATATGTGTGGGTGGGTATGGGTTTTGTGGGGGGCTGTGAGTGTGTGGGGGGAGGGTGGCTAGGTAAAGTTTTGGCTTTCATGGAGGGGGAGGGTTTGCCCGCAGCAAGCAGAACCCTGCCAACTCTCCTGCAAGCCCATACTCCCATTCGCTGCCACTGCTGCCCTTCTTCTGTCGCTTCCCCATCCCCCTCCTATCCCCACCACTGCTTTGGCACCACATCCCAGCTGTTCCTGTGGTCCCAGCGCTGCAAGGGCTGGGATGCCAGGGACTCTATGGACCCAGGTTGTGCTGCTCAAGCAGGGAGAGGAGAGAGCTAGCCCAGCTCCATAGAGGCCCTGCCAGCCTGGGCCCTGCGTTCCTCTCGCCCCACTCTGGGACTTGCCAGTGCTGGCCCCACACTCCCGCCCGGGTGTTGTTGTGCTCCGTACACCAGCTCGCTGCCCCTTCCCTTGCCTGCTGCAGCCATTTCCCCGCTCCCCACCACTGACCGGCCGCTCTGGCACCATGTGGCTCCCAGCTGCAGTACTGGGACTGCAGGAACCAGCCCAGCTGGCCCTGAGGACTGGGTTGATCACCCACAGTCCTCCCGTGCCCCCCTCCCCTACCTCCTTATCTGTATTTCTCTTGGTGCAGGGATGCAGGAACTGCCTCTGGCCAGAAGCCTCCGGGGTGGGGGAGGGGGTGGGCGGGGGGATGGTGCTGGGCTGGACTTGCTGTTGTGGCTATTTAGTTCTGCTGCTGGCTCCCCCTGGGTCCTACTGCACCTGGCTCCTGTCATCTTTGACAGGCAGCCAGTGGCAGATAAATATTAATTTTCTAAATTTTTTAGGGGCCCCGCCAGACAGAATGGTTTGGCGGGCTGGATCTGGCCTACAGGACATATTTTGCCCACCCCAATCTACGCAGTTTAAACTAAAAGGCAAAAGTTGAATCGATCCAGCCCTGGGCTTTTTGACTGTCTATACTTAGCTTAATTGATTTTGCCCATATTTTGGAGGAAACTGTAAAGGATGGCTGTATTAAACCTGATCTTGAGTTATCTCCATTTCATGTAATTATTTGGAGAATTAAAGTTGATTGAATTGCATTAAAAATAGACATAAAATTAAAAAAGGAATCCAGATGCACAGCCTGCACAGCCTTATACACTGACACACCACTGTAATTCTGCAAGGCAAGATTTGCTTCCCGAATGTATAGCTCCAAATGCTTTTTAGTTAATTTTATCACTAAAGAAAATAAATAGAGGAATATCATTTCCAGGATTCTGGCAAATATTTTAAACAATTGAAGGAGCATCAACATTTTTTTCCCTGTCCCTGGCTGCTGTTTTGCTACCAGATGGTCAGGGTGTTGTATCTTTAAAGTAGATACTAAAATTTGATACCTGAGAGGCTCCTCAAATATCCTGTTGTATGTCTTGCATTAACTAACTGCGACTTGAAGGCTTGAACTTTGTGGCGCACGTCTGCTCCTATCATAAAATGACTCAATCAGTTAAATGGGCCTTATCACGCCATAGCTTGATTTAAGGTACTGTTAACCAGTGACATTTACCAGGGAAAATTGTGACTTGAGCTTTATACCCTCTCATCTTTTTACAGCTCGTTGCCAAAACATTCTACATACCTGTACTGTTGCTATTTGTACATTACTTTAATAAATTACTGTTGTAACAGTGGAAGCACAGAGAGCAGCTCCTCGGGTTGCTGTTTTAACCAAAGCCACAGGCTGAACATTAGTTATTTATTTTGTTGAGGGCCAACATGGAAGTCATCCCTTTTGGTTCCTGCTGTTTTGGTTTTTAAAACTCCTGTCTTCTAGTTCCTGTAATGAAATACATCTTCAACCTCTATTATCAATTCATCCACCTTTGAAGATTCAAATTCATGCTCGCTGACAAGAAGAATAACATGTTTTTGGATGGTAAACAGTGTCTGTGTCCTGGCCGTGTCCCAAAACAGCAGGGAATGTGACAAGGAGGGAAAAGAAGCAGAGAGAGAAAGCATGAAAAGTAAAAGTAAGTGAGGGAGAAAGAAGCCAAACAAGAATAGAAACACCTTGGTGAAAGAGAAACTGAACTGACATGTTGTACTGATGTTTCAGCAATTAAAATCTGACTGAAAACCTGCTTTTGATATGGGGGGGGATATGAAATGTGAGAATGGGAGAAAAGAAAGTTAGAAAAAAAACAAGGAAGGATTTGATTTTGCATACGTGGTTTAAGGAAAGTTTGGCTGTTTCTGGTGAAAACTTTTTGGACCAACTTTTGGGATCTGTGACTACCAGTGTCCTTACTGAGATCGTTCAGTGGATAATGGAAACAGTCTCTCTGTGCCATTATTGTATAATATAGTTTTTTAAACATCTCTTCCCCGCAAAAATATAGAATTACCTCAGGCCCCTGGCAGACATTGTTAAAGGTGCTGTGGCATCTGATTGCTTCTTGCCTTGCTACATGTGCATCATTGTGGGATTGGAGATAAACTTGGTAGAATATAGACTTCACTGATTTGGGTCAAACCAGTTTATGCAATGTCTGTCCCAGATCCCTTCCTGTTTTAAGTTAAGTGCATGATTGTGGGCTTGGAGACCAGATCCCCATTGTCCCATATTGCTGGTGCAGAGGGAGCCCAGGATCATGATTCTAGGCTCCCCCTCCACCAGCATGTAGCAAGTCAGTTAGCTCATCTCTTCTCCCAGCCCTGGGAGCATATTGGAGTCAAGGGCTCTGCTGTACTCTGGAGGCTGGGAGCATAGATCAGCTTCTGCTCCCAGCCACAAGTGCACAGTGGAGTCCTGTGCCTCAGCAGGTGAAAGTGGTAGCTGGTTGGGGCTCCCCATCTTGGGGGCACATCAGAGCTCTTGATTTTGGTGCTCCATGGAGGCTGAAAGTGGCAGTCACCTGATTATTGTTCCAGCTTGGGGAATGCATGAGAGTCACAAGCTCTGATGTGTTCCTGAGGCTGGGAGCTCCCATCAGCCTGGCCACATGTGCAATTTAATTGGTTAATCACATCTTAACTGTACATCTGTCAGGGGCCTCATTCTTGTAAAGCACATTCCTTCTGTTTTTAATGTGACCCTAAAACAGACTCGCTAAATTTTGAGTGCACTACTCTTCGTAGCATAGGGAAGCTCTTGGATTATAGCTGAAAGATTGGCTTCTTCAATTTCATCTTAAGTGTGTTCAGAGCACTGGAAGACAGGGGATCACTAACTTGGGTTAATCAGGTGTGACCTTCAAATACTCAGGAATATGACAGTGACCAAGACTCGTTTGGAGCCTGCAAATGTGAAGCTATTCATCTTTGTCAGGTGTGATAATCGTATCTAGCTGAGATGCAACTGAAATCATAAAAGCATCACTACTGAATTGGGTTTGATTGAAATAGATTTGAAATGGCAATGACCAGTTTATGTAATCCAAAAGGGATTCCACAGTATGGAAAGGTATAGGGGTGTACCATTAGAGATTTTGGGGGCCAAGATGATAACTGATTTTTAAGGAGGCATATCGGCTGATACCAATCCAATTTCTGATACCAACCCAGCAACTTAGTAAATCTGCGTACAGCTGGTA